CCAGGCTGCCCAGACACCACCCCTCCACCCTCCTCCCCACTTGCTCACACTCCAGCCCCGTTTACACACCAAGACCGGGAAACGTGCCAAGTGCTCTGGTGCACGGTGGCATTGAGATTCACTGCATCCCTTTCCAAGAAAGGGCGTCCTTGGGCCCATTTTACAGGAGCCAGACTGAGGCCCAGAAAGGTGAAGCCAGCTGCCCAAAGTCACACGGTGAAAAGGTGGAAGAGCCGGAGAGCTGGGATTCAGACACAGACCCGTGAACCCATGGCTTCCCTCTTCTCATTACCCTGTCACCTGCCTAAAATACCAAGCATCTCCACGGAAGGCTGCCCTGGAAGCCCGGTCACTCCACTTGGGCCAAGGGTCCCAAACGGTGTCATGGCCTTGGAACAGCTGGACCCCTCCCCCCAGCTGAGTCAGGACCTCTCCACGCCCTCCCCCCTCTGGCATGAACTGAGAAGTCCCAGCTCAGCCACTGACAAACAGGGTGACCTCTGTGACCCTCAGGTCCCCCCTCTGCAAAACAGAGACAGGTGAGATGTCATGAGCTCCAGCAAGGACAATGCCCAGTCTGGTGGCTGCCTGCACAGCCAGTCGGCAACAGAGCAAGAAATAAGCCGCCAGAGGACGCTGCCGGGGGCGGGACCCTCCCGCAGTCGCGCACACCTGTTAGTCAGGTGCGTGGCTTCTCCCCATCCTCCCGGGAAGTCCAGGGCTAGCCCCACCCTCCCAGGCCACCTGTGTGAACCTCAGCTGGACTTCCCACGGGGACCCGCCAGAAGGCGAGTCAAAATGACTCCCCAGTCACACGCCCAGCGGAAGTGGACGCCCCACGTGGTCCCGAGGCGAGTATCCTCCAGGAGGAACAGTTATTTTGGGGGAGTTGGTGACAGCGGGGGCCAGGCTCACCCACAAACAGCCCGGGTGGAGAAGATTTTGTCCAAGACGGTGCCTGGGACCTGAGCTCCACCCAGCCCGCCTCGGGGGTGGGGGTGGGGGTGGGGGAGCGGTCCCATTCGCGCGGGACGCGGGGAGCAGGGGCTCGCACACGGTTCATCTGTCACCGGGCGCTTCCTGCCCACGGATCGGCCTTTGTCCCTCGGGGCGGGGGTGGGAGCAGGCCCGACCTCGGGAGGTGCAGGGAGGAGTCCGGTCCAGCTCACCCGCGGGGCGGACGGAACGGCAGGTGCCCGGAGGGTCACTGTGTCCACCGGGGGAGGACGGACGCCAGAGGAGACTGCTCCGCGCGGGGCACTCGACCGGACCCCCGCGCCCTCGCCTGCCCCGACCCTGACACTGGAACCGCAGGGGCGCCCCCTTCTCCACTTTCTACGTTGCACAGACCGAGCTGAGCTCCGGTGGGCGATGACATCTTCCAAACGCGGCATGACTTTCAGCACCTGCCCGGCCCGGCACGCGTCCCATATCACCCTGCCCCCGGCGGGCCCGGCCCGGCCGCCGCCATCAGCGCGTACCCGTCACCACCACGCTTCCGGGGCTGCTCCATGGCGTTCGGGCTGCGCCTCCGACCGCTGGAGTCCGACTGGCGCGCCCGACGCCGCCGGAGCCCGGCCCCCCGGCCCCGCCCAGGTCCCCGCCCCCGCCCCTGGTGTCGCCCCGCCCGGGCCGCCCCGCGTGCGCCCCCGCGCCCCCACCCGCAGCTCGGCCCGAAACGCCTGCTTGCGCGGCTCCAAGATCCGCATTCAACCCAGGAGCGCGTGGCTCCCCACGCTGCAGAGCCTCGGTTTTCCCATTTGGAACGGGGACGGTTTGTACCGTAGGATGTGGCCGCTTGAACTCGGCGCCAGGGACAGGCTGGTCTCTCATTCCACAAGTGTGGTCCCCCCACTTCCCTATGAGCAAGATTCCTTCCGTTCTGTTTTGCAGATGAGGAGCCTGAGGCACAGTTCGGAGGGCCACTCGGCTGGAGCCTCCTGGGATCACAGAAGTGACATTCAGGCCAGGGGGTTAAGCTAAGAAATAGTTGGGTGGTGCTGGAAGGTTCTCTGCGGGCTCCTATGTTGCTAAGGAGGCTGATGTGGCCCAGGGACCTCAGCCTCTCCTCCCTCTATCTGCCCACGCTCACCCCAGGGGCTCTGCATTTGCTGTTCCCTCTGCCTGGGACATGCCCAGCAGTTACCACAAACCTAGCCTCTTCCTCTCCTTCGGGGCTCCGTTGGAATGTCACCTCTTCCTAGAAGCCCTCTCTGGCTGTCACCTCCTCCTAGGGGCCCTTCTAACGGGCTGAACTCACCACCACCCAGGAGATCCATCTCGTTTCCTTATTTCACTGAAAGAAATCATTCCTTGATAGGTGCAGCTTTCCTGGTGTAATTTCCCATTTCCTATGACATAAGGGTTAGGACTTACATGCCAACAGGGCGTCTCTATTACATCCGTGTCCCTGCACTCAGTACAAGCCTAGCACACAGTTGATCTCCCACCAACCTTCATCAGAGGTCAGAATTCCTCCAAAAACAGCCAGAAAAATAAAGCTGTTTCTGGCCACATCCTCAGAACCAGGGCTGCACATTAGACACGGGTCACCGACGTCTCATTCCAAGCAGCTTGGCCCCGATTAGCCAGGCTGCTGCTGAAGTTCCAGCCGTCTCTGGCCCAGGCCTCAGACTACCCGGGGCAGAGGTCTTTGGACTACCCAGAGCCCTGTTTGCAAGCTCAGACTGGAGGTCACATTCTCAGTGACTATTTGGGTCTCTGGCAGCTTCAGGTAGAATTCAGAACAGGTCTCGTCTGACCAGGGGACTGAGACCCAAACCAAGTGGGAGAAGAGAACAGAATGGAAATCTCACCCAGAATCAGGTTTTATAGTTTAAACATGTTGAAAGTGTCTGGTAGAAAGTGCACATGTTGCTAGAAGCCTAGGATGTGAAGAGAGGGAAGTCACAGTGGGTTTCATTTTCCCCCATCAAAGGGAGGAAACTGAAACACCCAGAATCAGCCCTGATGGGGGGAAACTGAGTCCCATGCTGTTGCCAAAGGTGATTGGGGTAAAGGCTCAGGTTCACTGGCACCTGAACCACCCATGGATCCTCTTCAAGTGTATAACTGGAATTCTCTTTTTAAATCTCCCCAAATCCTTAGAGGGAGGGACTGGTCTTACACCATTTTGCAAGTGAGAAAACTGAGGCCCAGAGCAGCTAAGCCACTTGTCCCCGATCACATATGGGAGGG